TAAAGGTTTAAGAATACAGAAAGCAAAGATAATCACTACTTTAAGTATAAAGAGACTATCTACTAATGTAACTTGTACAACAGAAAACAAAAATCAACTCTGAAATGTCAGAAATCTTTTATTTAAAAGCAGAGGTATGAGAACCGCCTCCTCCCCCGCTGCTTAAAAGAGATACACTTGAAATAGAATTATACATTATTAAAAATAGATAACGTAAGCCAATCAAAATTAAAAAAAAACACAAAAAGCAAAATTGCTTGTAATTTTAGAAACATTACTTTGGGAGAGAAAGCTGTTAACTTACTCATTTTAATGTAGGCTCTATGCCTAGGGTGGAGCCCAGTATGAGACTTGAACACATAGCCCTAGGGATGCTTGACTGAGTCACCCAGGCAACCCCATAAAAAATTATTTTTGATAAAAAGTAGAGTCAATAACAAAGGTGTAATTATAATATTTTTGTGATTCATAAGCCAAAAGTAAGTAGGAGAAATTGAGGCACATTTTTACTGGGGTATTATCAGAGTATTTGGACCATGAAAGTATCAGTGATTTTATTTTCTACAAATACACATACCAAATTTTTAAATGTCAACAGAACATTTACAAAATTTGCTATAATGTTATAAGAAAAACATAACCAAAAATTAAAGTCAGGCAGAAAATATTGACAATAAATAAGCTTTTACAAACTTAAAAATACTAAGATCCCATGATCAAGATACTGAACCTTGGTTATAAACTTCTATTATCTCCCCTTAAGGTCATTTCTTGAGATAATAGAAAAATGAGGGAAGGGTACTTTTTTGGTTTGTTGGATTGGTAGGTGGCCTGTGGTAGAAATTAACCCAGCATCTCTGTGGGGAAGGAAAATGAATTTTTAGAATTCTGTTCTTGTTGACATGCTTTCCCCCATCCCCTGATGTCATTGTCTTAAACAGTGCCTCACTCTCTGTTAACTGTAAATTGGATCTCTGTTCTAGCTGTCCTCTAGAATAAAATCCTGGGCCAGTCCTTGCTTAAATCTTACTACTTTGCAGGAACTTGGAAAAATCAGGTGGAGACTACTCTACTCCTTCCTGTTCATACTCACTTGTCTTGTGAATTACAATAACAGTCTAAGGAATGCTCCCTAAAAAGAAGCTCTGGGGGAGTGATTATAGTTTAACACCCTAAGTTTCAACCCTAGGGCTAGTCTGCTCTTTGCCATTCCTCCCACTGAATATTTGGCTGTTCACTGCTGGAAAAGTTTGGTTGATAGTGCCAGGAAAAAAAATGAACTGCTGCAAATAACAAAAATGTTGGAGGAGCACAGCTATTTCAAAGGAAGCAGTGTAGATAGAGTATATCAGAGTCTAACAGAAGCAAAAATATTAGGACAGATAAATTGATAAATTTAGTCTAATGAACATAATAAAAGAAGTAAGGGAAAGTGTTACAAATGAGAACATAGAACAGAGACAACCATGCAGAAAATTTAGGTGTGAAACATAAAAAAAAGTATAAAATACAATAGATGTGAAATAGTGGGAATGATAGAGCTAGGGAGTAAATTAATAATTGGTAGGATATATTTGGAAAATATCTTGAAAAGGGAAAGGACAAATAGGGAAAAAAATTTAAGGCAGTATGTTAATGAAAATAGAAATGCTGACTTTTCCCTCCAAACAAGAGGGACATTGGGAGAAGAGAGGAAATATTTGAAAAAGTAATTGAGATCCGTTTGTTAACTGACCTCAGATTTAAAGGGCTAGAAAGCACCCCAAAAAGAGAATAAGGAAGACCTCATTATACATACTAACCTGAAATTTAAGAATATGGAAGAACCAGAAATTCTAAAAGCCTGCAAAAGGAAAGAACAAGCAATATATAAGAGAACAAGTATGAGCTTTTTTTTTTTTCCCGGCAGTAGCACTGGGTACAAGATAACTATTACAATTTAGAATTTAATATCTAGCCAAACTGTCATTGAAATGAGAGTAGATAATAAAATATCCTCAGGCATTAAAGTGCTCTGAGGATTTTTATTAAAAGGTGACACTGAAAACAGTTTGGAATGAAGTGCTTAACCGAAAAGGTAAGGTAAACTAAGGGATGCTGTAAGAGATTTGTGATTATTTACCTTAGTAGAGTGGATTTTTACCTTTATAACAAATAAAAAAGGTCTAGTTAATACCAATCTTGATGGGTTGGCAGAGGAAGGCAAGGTCAAAGGATATGAGAGCATATTAAAGTTCTTATTAGAAGATGATATCTTTGATGTCAAAAATTTAAAGAGAGCCTTAAAAATAAAGTAAGATAAAGTGGAATGTAAGATTAAGATAGAAATAGGACCAAATACATCAATAAATATAATAAATCTAAGTGAACCAAAACTCACCAATTAAGAAAATACTGATTAGCATAAAGAAATCTAGATACTTTCTAGAATACAAGACACATGTAAAGCATACGAATGCATCAAGGTTTAAAATAATAGGATTAAAAAAAAAGAAATGTAAACCAAAATAAAATTGTTATTGCTACACTAATAAAAATAAGGTCATTATTAGGGGTGGTGAGGGTTGTAAATATAGATAGAAGATTTAGGAAATCAAGAAATAACAATTTTTAACACGCATGAATCTGATAAAATAAATGAAGCAAAAATTGGTAGTTTTAAATAAATGAAGACTTCAATATCTCAGTTTCTCAATTGAGAAATTGCTAAAACTACAGAGAAATTGTTTTCAAAGATTTATTTACTTATTTATTTATTTTAGAAAGTGAGAAAGATCATGAGTGGGAGGGGCAGGGGCAGAGACAGGACAGACATTTTATCAAAGAAGACATACTACAGATGGTCAATAGACCTATGAAGAGATACTCAGCATCACTTAGCATCAGGGAAATGCAAATGAAAAGTATAATGAGATATCACCTCACACCTGTCAGAATGGCTAAAATCAAAAAAACAAGAAACAACAAGTATTGGCATGGATGTGGAGAAAAAGGAACTGTCACATGCTCTTAGTAGGACTGCAAACTTTTGCAGCCACTGTGGAAAAGAGTATGCTTAGAAAATGAAAAATAGAACTACCATATGACCCAGTAATTGCAGAACTGGGTTTTTACCCAAAGAATAAGAAAACACTAATTCGAATAGGTAGGTGCACCCCTATGTTCATTGCAGCATTATTTACAACGGCCAAATTACGGAAGCAGCCCAAGTATCCATAGATGAATGGATAAAGAAGATATGGTATAGGGGTGCCTGGGTGGCTCAGTGGGTTAAAGCCTCTGCCTTTGGCTCAGGTCACGATCCCAGGGTCCTGGGATCAAGCACCACATTGGGCTCTCTGCTCAGCAGGGAGCCTGCTTCCTCCTCTCTCTCTGCCTACCTCTCTGTCTACTTGTGATCTCTGTCTGTCAAATAAATAAAATCTTAAAAAAAAAAAAGAAGATATGGTGTATGTACAATGGAATATAACCCAGCTATAAAAAAGAATGAAATCTTGCCATTTGCAACAACATGGAGCTAGAGAGTAAAATGCTAAGCAAAGTAAGTCAGAGAAGGACAGATACCGTATTATTTCACTCAAATGTGTATGTAAAAAAAATTCAAAGATAAACTGAAAAAACAGATTTGAAACCAAATCTGGTTAAATCATATGTAAGAAACGTGAACAGAGTTCTAAGGTGATTGAGTGCCATGTTGAGAAGGTCTTATAAGGAGTTCAAAGGGCCATTTGTTTTTCTTTTCCATTTTCATCCTTAAGATAACGTTTTTAGAGCTAGAATTGTTCAGTTACCTACCTGAAGATAATGCTCCTTTTGAAGTGGTTCTTTTAGGCTTAAAGAAATGTGATGGTTTTTATCTCTTTAAAACATGTAAGAATACATGAGATACTAAGATTTTTTTTCTTTTTTATAAATATTTCCTTTGATTTAAGCAACTGCTTATAAACTAGGAGCTTTGCCATTGTTTCTGTTAAAAACAAAGGCAGAAAGTAACATCAGGTATATTGCCATTGTAGTATTCTGTCCAACTATTTTTTAAATCGTATCCTGCAGTTATTCTGTATAACAAAGTGTTTGTTGCTTAGCTTTTGCCTTTCAGGACAATCTGAGTAGAATATATTCTTTTCTTTTTGTTAGAGCATACCAAATTCTCATAAATTAGAAGCAACTTCAATTAAGAAATTTTTATGCTACTGTTCAATTTTTAATTTTTGTTTTTTTTTTCTTAGAATTCAAGGACTTAACCTGAACACAATACGTTTTTCTTATTGAAATGTCATAGACTGTGATAGGGCTATAGCAGTAGAAATGGAAAAGAGGGATATCCTAGAGAGACATGATTCAGGAGAGAAAGTCTCTGGCTCTCTTACATCCTCCTGGCTTTTGGTACAAAGGCAGTATTTGTTTTATCCTGAAGCCAAATTTAAAACAATATTCATCTATTTTAAATTATCTGTAAGTCCTTTCAAAGTCTAAAGAAGACTATTAGGATAGACTTTTGAAAAATCTTATACTTAGTTTAGAAAAAATTTATTCATTTATTTATTTTTAAAAAGATATTTATTTATTTATTTATTTATTTATTAATATTTACTTATTTGAGAGAGATCACAAGTAGGCAGAGAGGCAGGTAGAGAGAGAGGGGGATCAGTCTCCCTGCCGAGCAGTGAGCTTGATATGGGGCTCGATCCCAGGACCCTAAGATCGTGATGTGAGCTGAAGGCAGAGGCTTAATCTACTGAGCCATCCAGACACCCTGAAAAAATTTACTTTTTTTACATTTACATTTAGTTATTCTATTTCCTCTACTTTATGTTACAAATATGATTCTGAAAATTGGAATACATCTGTTTAAGTCTTGTATAATTCAAAATTTTTTGTATACAGTTATTCCTCTCAGAGATAAATGCCTTTCTGTTTGTATAAATTTTTGTCAAGATTGATAAAGTGGTTAGAAAGAGAGAGTTGGAATTTAGATAGTATTGATGACTACTGTTTAGGAAGCAGTACCACGGGAGCGCCCTTTCAGTGCCATGAAACAAGAACAGCAGAGGAAATGGGTTGAAGATTTGAACAAGCAAATAGAAGATGATCGGCAAAGAAAAATAGAGGAAAAAATTACATCTTCAAAGGTAACTTAACAAATTTAGGTGGATGTTGTCACGGGAAAAAAAATAATTTGAGTCCTTAATCATAAACCTAAAAGTATCCTAAAGCTATTTGACAAGACTACAGTATTCAAATTAATACACATTTGCTCTTGTAAACCTTTTATTGAATGCATTTAGTAAGTGATTTTGTGTAATTTCTTAAAACTGGCTTTTCAGGAATTTCCTAATTTGAATTTCTCGTACTCTTCATGTTAGTTATCTAAGTATATATGGAATTAATAAAGAATATAGCTCTGTTAATTTTTGTGATACTTATTCTGCTCTGTGGTGACTTTTAAAAATTGTGTTTGATTATCATTTTAGAACTTTATACATGAGAACAATTGGAAGAATTCTTAGTCATTCTTATTTATCATGATTAGGGTGAGGAACATGACAGATGGGCAATGCATTTTGATTCGTTAAAGACCGATCCTGCTTCTCAGTCTCAACTGTCTTCTTGGTCAACACACAACCAACCAGAGTACTTCTGTGTCTCTCCGGACACTCACGAACTGGCTGATATCAGCAGTGTTTATACACCTATGACTGGAAGCCAGGTTGAACCTTCAGAGGAGGAGCATATAGCAAAACCAGTTAGAGATAAGACCATGGCAGATAGTCAGAAAACAAAGTAAGTTTATTTTTCAGTATTTATTAATATTTAAGAAAGTCTATGTGCTTTATTAAAAGGACTGTCATTATATTTATAATACATGTTAATTGATTTCAGGTTTGGTATTTTCCTTTAAAGTAGAAATTACTAGTGGATGTATCTGGAGCAAAAATGATTTAGCATCTTTTGGGGGTTTTGTGTAACTAAAGTGTCTGTCTTGCCAGCTTTCTCCGTTCTATGACTGCTCTCTTGGATCCAGCTCAGATTGAAGAACGTGAGAGGCGACGACAAAAACAGTTAGAACATCAGGTATTGCATTGTAAAATACTATTCTTTGCCTTAATAAGTAAAGTCATTTCCAGTGTATACCTAAATAAATGGAAATTAAAATTCCAATATAAATGTACAGCACAGGCCCTTCCATTTCTGTGATGAATCTAATTCTTACTCCAGCTGGCAGTAATACTCAAATTATATTGATGCTGAGAACCAGACAGTATCACATAGTACAACCAGCCACTTGCCTTCCAGAAGACAAGGTCTTTAATATATGTTTTATATATGAAATGGCACTAAATCTTAACTTAGTACTGGTTATTTTTTTTTATATCTGTTTATAGGTCTCCTGAATTTTGTTTAGGATGAGAATTAGTTCTTTTAAGGGAACTATACAGGGCACTGAGGTAGAATTCTGATTGAGAAATCTAGCAGATAATATAAGGAAGGAGACTAAGATTAAAATTCTAATTTTAATCTAACACTAAAAGGACTTAAAATTCTGAATAATTCTTTAAAACCTTTGATACATGAAGAATTCGATGTAATTAATATTGTTAATCTTAATCAGTAAGTGAATTACAGAATGTCTGCTACTTACCAGACACTATGCTAAGTGCTGAGATTTTTTTAGTTGATTTTGGATAACTTCTTCTAACAGACCTCCTCTGTTAAAAGAAAAAGCATATAGAATTCCAGGAACAAAAGATGGGATAAATATATTGGAAATTTGACATTTTAACTTTATTTATATATGTAATATTGCATTATATATTATCTGCTACTTATAAACTTATTTTAGAAATTCAAATGCTTCAAATAGATTTTTTTAATTTGTGACAGTGCATTTTGTGATTTATGATTTATAACTAGAAAGCCATCACCGCTCAGGTAGAAGAGAAACGCAGGAAGAAAGAGCTGGAAGAACAGCAAAGAAAGAAGGAAGAACAAGAAGAGGAGCGTCGCTTAGCACGGGAACGAGAAGAGATGCAGAAACAGTATGAAGAAGACATACTTAAGCAAAAACAAAAGGAAGTAAGTATATATTAAAATTTTTTTCATTGAAATATAATTAACACAGTGTTACATTAGTTTCAGGTGTACAACAACATAGTGATTCAGGAGTCCTATATGTTATACCATGTTGACAGGCATACAATACACACTATTATAGTACCATTGACTGTATTCCCTATGCTGTTGCTTTCCTCCCTATGACTTGTTCATTTAATAACTGGAAGCCTGTACCTCCCACTCCTCTTCCCTCATTTACTAACTCCCTCTTCCCTGCTACCAGTTTGTGAGTCTGTTGTTGTTTTGTTTTGTTTTTTAAAGATTTTACTTATTTATTTGACAGAGATCACAAGTAGGCAGAGAGGAGGGCAGAGAGATAGGCAGAGAGGCAGGCAGAGAGAGAGAGAAAGAGAGAGGAGGAAGCAGACTCCCTGCGGAGCAGAGAGCCCGATGGGTTCAATCCCAAAACCCTGGGATCATGACCTGAGCCAAAGGCAGAGGCTTTAACCCACTGAGCCACCCAGGCACCCCTGTGGGTCTGTTTTTTTGTTTGTTTGGAGTTTTTTGTTTTGCTTTTCATTTTATCTTTTTAGTTTCCACATATAAGTGACTTCATATGGTATTGATCTTTCCCATCTGACTGACTGACTTTAGCATAATACCCTCTGGGTCCATCCGTGTTATTGCAAATGGCAAGATCTCATTCTTTTTTTATGGCTGAATAATACTCTGCTTTTTGTATACACTACATCTTCTTATCCATTCTTCTGCTGATGGATTCTTGAGTTGCTTCCATATCTTGGCTGTTACAAATAATGCTGCAGTAAACATTTGGGTGCATATATCTTTTGTTTCCTTTGGGTAAGTACTTTATAGTGAAATTACTAGACCTGTGGTAATTCTACTTTTAATTTTTTTAGGAGGGTCCTTATTGTTTTCCACAGAGGTTATACCAATTTCCATTCTTACCAATAGTGCCCAAGGGTTCCCTTTTCTCTACATCCTCACCAACACTTGTTGTTTCTTGTCTTTTTGATACTAGCTGTTCTGACGATGGTGAGATGATATAATTATGGTTTTGATTCACATTTCCCTGATCATTAGTGATGTTGAGGATCTTTTCCTGTGTCTGTTAGCCATCTGTATGCTTTGGAAAAATGTTTGTTTGGGTCCTCTGATCTTTTTTAAAAATTAAATTATTTGGGGGGGCAGTTGACTAAGTGTCTGAGTCTTGGTTTCAGCTCAGGTCATGCTCACTGGGTTGTGAGATCCAGCCTAGTGTGGAGCCTGCTTAAGATTCTCCCCCAACCCCCACTCTGTCAGCCTATCTCCCCATTCATGTGGTCATGCTGTCTCCCTTAAAAAAAAAAAAAATCATTATTTGGTGTTTTGGTGTTGAGTTGTACAAGTTATTTGTATATTTTGGATATTAACTCCTTTTCACATATGTTGTTTGCAGATATCTTCTCCCATTCAGTAACTTGTTGTTTTGTGGATGGTTTCTTTTATTGTGCAGAAGCTTTTTATTTTGATATAATCCCACCAGTTTATTTTTGCTTTTATTTCCTATGCCTGAGGAGACAGATCTAGAAAATGGAAATTAAAATTCCAGTATAAATGTACAGCGCAGTCCCATGGTAATGCCGTTGTCCAAGAGGTTACTGCCTCTGTTTCCTTTAAGGAGTTTTATGGTCTTAGGTCTCACAGTTTATATCCATTTGAGTTTATTTTTGTGTGTGGTGGAAGAAAGTGGTCCAATTTCATTCTTGTGCATGTAACTGTCCAGTTTTCCCAGCATATTTTATTGAAGAGACTGTCTTTCTCCCATTGGATATTCTTGCCTTCTTTGTCATAGATTAGTTGACCATATAAGCATGGTTTTATTCTTGGGCTCCCTTTCATCTTCTTTTGATCTGTTTTGTGCCATTGCTATACTATTTTGAGTACTGGCTTTGTAGCATATATGGTTTGAAAATCTAAGATTGTGATACCTTCAGCTTTGTTCTGCTTCCTCAGAATTGCTTTGGCTATTTGGGGTCCTTTGTGGTTCCATACAGATTTTAAGATTATTTGTTCTAGCTCTGTGGAAAATTCTGTTGGTATTTTGATAGGGATTACATTCAATCTGTAGATTGCTTTAATAGAGTGGACATTTAAAGTGTTAGTTCTTCCGGGGTGCCTGGGTGGCTCAGTGGGTTAAAGCCTCTGCCTTCAGCTTGGGTCATGATCTCAGGGTCCTGGGATCGAGCCCCCGCATCGGGCTCTCTGCTCAGCAGGGAGCCTGCTTCCTCCTCTCTCTCTGCTTGCCTCTCTGCCTACTTGTGATCTCTCTCTGTCAAATAAATAAATAAAATATTAAGGGGCGCCTGGGTGGCTCAGTGGGTTAAGCCGCTGCCTTTGGCTCAGGTCATGATCTCAGGGTCCTGGGATCGAGCCCTGCATCGGGCTCTCTGCTCAGCAGGGAGTCTGCTTCCCTCTCTCTCTCTGCCTGCCTTTCTGTCTACTTGTGATCTCTCTCTCTGTCAAATAAATAAAATCTTAAAAAAAAAAAAGTGTTCTTCCAAACTTTGAACATGGTAGTATTTATATTATAAATAACATTATAGAGTAAAAATGGATAGAGTAAAAATGGGTGTATTTTTAAAAGAAAAATAATCAGAAGTTGAACATTTGCATCTGTTTTGAAATTTTGAAGGTGTATGCAGAAACACTGAAGTGTTGCATTATAAAGGTTATGAACGTAAAGGAGAATCTAGAGAAGGTTTAATTATTTCAAGTGATCAGTTCACAAATGCCATATTGCAAGGGTTTTTTTCTCTGCTAAGAAAGGCCAGTACAGCACACAAAAAAATTACCCATGTGCTTCATTTTGAAATGTTTTCTAAGCAGTAATTATTATTATTTTTTTTAAGATTTTATTTTTTTATTTGACAGATCACAAGTAGGCAGAGAGGCAAGCAGAGAGAGGGGAAGCAGGCTCCCTGCTGAGCAGAGAGCCCAATGCAGGGCTCGATCCCAGGACCCTGAGATCATGACCTGAGCTGAAGGCAGAGGCTTAACTCTCTGAGCCACCCATGCATGCCTAAGCAGTAATTATTAATAAATATCCTAGATGTGTTAAAAGAAATGATTGGCCTTTCTGTCTGTATCCATTAGTGCACAGGAGCATATATTTGCAGTGATTGGCTGGGATTGATGATACATTTCATTGCTGTGTTAGAGTTTTCCTGTGTGCTTAAATAAGATCTTTTTTTTTTTTTTTAATTTTAAAATTTTATTTATTTATTTATTTTAAAGATTTTATTTATTTATTTGAAAGACAGAGCTCACAAGTAGGCAGAGAGGCAGGCAAGAGAGAGAGGAAGGGAAGCAGGCTCCCTGCTGAGCAGAGAGCCCGATTCGGGGCTCGATCCTAGGACCCTGGGATTGTGACCTGAGCCGAAGGCAAAGGCTTTAACCCACTGAGCCACCCAGGTGCCCAAATTTTTATTTTTTGTGATTTTATTTATCCATTTGTCAGAGAGAGAGCACAAGGGAGAGCACAAGCAGGGGGAGGGGCAGAGGGAGAAGCAGGCTCCCCACTGAGCAGGGAGCCGGATGTAGGACTCGATCCCAGGACAGTGGAATCATGACCTAAGCTGAAGGCAGCCGCTTAACCAACTGAGCCAACCAGGTGTCCCTAAATAAGATCGTTTTTTAAAAAAGAGTAGATACCTGGTTAGCTACAAGAACACCTCTGTTAAGTGGTACATGTGGCATAGGGATAGTTGTGTGAAGTGTCATGTTTGAGCTGACCTGACATGAGCAAATCCTACAATGACATGTGATTGCCAAGGATTTGTGAGGTTTATAGTAGAGCATAGAGCATTTCCCTTCGCCCTCGGAGATGCAACCTAGAGCCTGCATTTTCTTGATTTTTCCCATTTTCAGCCTTAACTCCACACTGATGAAGTGGATGATCTGGGTTCTATTTTCATTATGTTGAATAGGTTAAGCCAACTACTCCTATGAAAAAACTATATATGTGAATAAAGTCAAAGGGTCATTTGTTTGAATTGCAAGAAATGGCCGTAAATCCTGTGTTTTACCTCTTAATAATCTGTTTTTAATCTTTTTTTTTTTAAGATTTTATTTATTTATTGACAGAGATCACAAGTAGACACAGAGGCAGGCAGAGAGAGAGAGAGAGAGGGAAGCAGGCTCCCTGCTGAGCAGAGAGCCCGATGCGGGACTCTATCCCAGGACCCTGAGATCATGACCTGAGCCGAAGGCAGCAGCTTAACCCTCTGAGCCACCCAGGCGCCCTGTTTTTAATCTTAATGGAATTTTGATGGAATTAATCACTGGTTGTAGAAGCTTTAAAAACTTTATTATAATAAACTTCAGTGGGTAAAAGAATTCTTATATTTGTGGTCTAATACAGCTGTAGAATATGATACTAAAATATAAGTTCCAAAGGGGAGAAGCTTTGCCCTGTTGACTTTTTCCCAGTATCTTGAATAGTGCCTGGCACATAGTAGGAGCTAATCTGCTTAGAATAGTCAAGTCTATAGGTGTCTGATAATTGCATTTAATAATTCTGTGCCCTTCAAATATTAACAGGAAATCATGACTCTCAAAACACATGAGCTATTTCAGACAATGCAGAGAGCACAGGAGCTAGCACAGAGGCTGAAACAAGAACAGAGAATCCGAGAACTGGCTCAAAAGGGACACGACACTTCTGGATTGGTTAAAAATCTTGGTGGTAAGCAGTTTACTAGAATTTTACTTAAAATATCTTTTGAAGAGGATTTTAAATAACTGCCTATTTTTGGTACCTCTGACACACCTAGTGACTAAATATTGTTTTAGGAATTTCAGACCTTGAACTGATGTAACTTTATAAAAATGCTTATTTTGTTTGGGAGATTGGTTTAAGAGAAGAACTAAATAATGTTACACTTTCCAATAATCTTCTTTGATACAGGAAGGATGTTAGGGTTTGAAGACAACAACCAAGAATTCTCCAGATGTTTTTGGTGCAAAAAGGTGGTTTTATTAAAGCACGGGGACAGGACCCATGGGCAGAAAGAGTTGTGCTAGGGTCGTGAAGAGTGGCCCATCATATACTTTCAAGTTGTGAGGGGTTAGGGATAGTGTAAGTATGTAAGGAATTTGGAAGCACAGTTTCCAGGACCTTGAGGGGGCTAGCTGTTGTTGGGAAAATGTCATTTATTACTGTCTAATAAAAACTTAGTCATGAGACCCTTCAGATGTATATCAGTGGGTCATATGATTGGGGGATGATTGCCAATATGTATTGGGGAGAGGGGTAGAGATAAAGGCAGTTTCCAGAGGAATTTTTTTTTATGTTACAATAGACGTACAAGATCGTGGGGGTTGGGCTAAGATTACTTTCTGCCCTTAGCAAAGTATGAACATCCGGGCAGTTGAGTTCCTAGAGGAATGTCACTGATGACCTATTTCAAGGACTTGTCAGTGGGCCGTAAGTAGTAAGGAAATTTAATAATTTTTCTTCTGCCTTTGTTTCCTACATTTTACATAAATTTTCTTATGTTTTGTTTATAGTAGGTAAAATGTATACTTTTTTTTACCCAGTGTTTTTAGAGAAATCTCTGAAAGGATCCTCATAATTCAATAAGGGATAAAAATGCAGGTCACTTTTTGTAAGAAAATTTAGGATAGCCCTTTTATATTTTTATTGTAGTGTTCACATTGATTACACTGAAAATCTTGTGCGTATATAGTTGCTGCTACACATACTTTCTCTTAATCTTCCTGAACTGTCATTATGTTGGATAATTTATTTCTCTTGCTATTTGATAAGGTGACTAACAGCATTTCAAATTTAGGACATGGCTTGGATGATGTCAGTGGTAAAAAGAATACATGTATCAATTCTACAACCTCTCCCAAAAAGGATACTGCTGTGCAAACAGGTATTTGTTTAAAAGTTGTGATTTGGTTTAAAATTTACTTAAAATTAGCATCACAGTCAGAATTAAGCTTAATTTAGAATTGAGCTCTATTTAAAAATGAAAGGAATTCACCACTTTTCAGCAAGGATTAGAAAATGAAGGGATCTCTTGATTTTTAATTTCTCTGTAACAGCTTCATTGAGGTTTAATTCACATAGCAGACAGTTAACCCCCTTAAAGGATACAGTGCAGTGTTTTGGTTTTGGTTTTCTTTAAGTTTTTAATTAAATTCTAGTTAACATATATGGTGAAATTGTTTCAGATGTAGAATTTAGTGATTCATCACTTACATATAATACCCAGTGCACATCACAAGTGCCCTCCTAAATACCCATCACCCAGTTAGCCCATTTCCCCACTCACCTCCCTCTATAATCACTCAGTTCTCTTTTTTTTTCCCTCATTTATGTGCGAGAGAGGGAGAGTGAGAGAGAGAGAGCAGAAGCAGAAGGGAGAAGCAGAGGGAAAGGGAGAAGCAGACTCCCTGCTGAGCAGGGAGCCCAACATTGGGCTCAATTCCAGGACCCTGAGATCATGACCTGAGCTAAAGGCAGATGCTTAACCTACTGAGCCACCCAGGTGCCCCACTATCTAGTTCTGTCCATGTCATTGCAAATGGCAAGCTTTCATTCTTTTTGATGGCCAAGTTATATACCATCTTGTTCATCCATGGATATTTGGGTTCTTTCTATATTTTGGCTGTTGTTGATAATGGTGCTATAAACATCATGGTGCATGTGCCCCTTTGAATCAGTATTTTTGTGTCCTTTAAGTAAATGCCTAGTACTGTAATTGCTGGGTCATAGGGTAGTTCTATTTTTAACTTTTTGAGGGACCCCCCCCCCATACAGTTTTCCAGAGTGGCTGCATCAATTTGCATTCTCATCAACAGTGTAGGAGGATTCCCTTTTCTCCATATATTCGCCAACATCTGTTGTTTTCTGTGCTAGTAAATTTTAGCCAGTTTGATAGGTGTGAGGTGGTATTTCATTATGGTTTTGATTTGTATTTTCCTGTTGAGTGAAGTTGAGCATCTTTTCATGTGCCTATTAGGCAACTATATGTCTTTGGGAAAATGTCTGTGTCTTCTGCCCCCCCCCCCTTTTTTTTCTTTTCTTTTTAGGATTTTAAAATTTATTTCACAGAGAGAGCGAGCACAAGCAGGGGGAGTGGCAGGGAGAGGAAAGGGAGAAACAGGCTTCCCACCGAGCAGGGAGTCCAATGCAGGGCTCGATCCCAAGACTCTTGGAACGTGACTTGAGCCGAAGGCAGCTGCTTAAGTGACTGAGCTACCGAGGTGCCCCTTTTTGCCCATTTCTTAACTGGATTATTCATTTTTTGGGTGTTGAGTTTGATAAGTTATTTATAGATTTTGGATACTAACCCTTTTTCAGACACGTCATTTGCAAATACCTTCTCCCATTCTGTAGGTTTTCTTTTAGTTTTGTTGATTTTTTTCTTCACTGTGTAGAAGCTTTTTATCTTGATGAAGTCCCGGTAGTTCACTTTTGATTTGCTTTTGTTTCCCTTGCCTCTAGAGATGTGTTTAATAAGAAGTTTCTATGGCTGAGGTCAAAGAGGTTGCTGCCTATGTTCTCAAGGATTTTGATGGATTCCTGTTTCACATTTAGGTCTTTCATCCATTTTGAATTTATTTTTGTGAATGGTGTATGAAAGTGCTTCAGTTTCATTCTTCTGCATGTTGCTGTCCAGTTTTCCCAGCACCATTTGTTGAAGAGACTGTGTTTTTTCCATTGGATATTCTTTCCTGCTTTGTCGAAGATTAGTCGACCATGGAGTTGAGGGTCCATTTCTGGGCTCTCTGTTCTGTTCCATTGATCTGTGTGTCTGTTTTTGTGCCAGTACCATACTGTCTTGATGATGACAGCTTTGCAGTAGAGCTTGGAGTCCAGAATTGTGATGCCACCAGCTTTGGTTTTCTTTTTCAACATTCCTTTGGCTATTTGGGGTCTTTCCTGGTTCCATATATATTTTAGGATTATTTGTTCCAGCTCTGAAAAAAGTTGATGGTATTTTCATAGAGATTGCATTGAATGTGTAGATTGTTCTAGGTAGCATAGACATTTTAACAATATTTGTTCTTGAAGGTCTACAAGCAGGGAATATTTTTCCATATCTTTGTCTTTCTCAGTTTCTTTTATGAGTGTTTTGTAGTTTTGTGAGTACAAATCCTTTGCCTCTTTAGTTAGGTTAATTCCTAGGTATTTTACAGTTTTTGGTGCATTTGTATATGGGATTGACTCCCTAATTTCTTTCTTCTGCCTCATTGTTAGCATATAGAAATGCAGCTGATTTCTCTGCATTGATTTTATATCCTGCCACTTTGCTGAATTCCTATATGAGTTTTAATGATTTTGAGGTGGAATCTTTTGTGTTTTCTACATAGAATATTATGTCATCTGCAAAGAGTGAGAGTTTGACTTTTTAGCCAATTGAGATGCCTTTTATTTCTTCTTGTTGCATGATTGCTGAGGCTAGGACTTCTAGTACTATGTTGAACAACAGTGGTGACAGTGGACATCCCTGCCATGTTCTTGACCTTAGGAGGAAAGCTCTGTTTTTCTCCACTGAGAATGATATTTGCTGTGGGCTTTTTGTATATGGCTTCTTTGATATTGAGGTATGTTCCCTCTGTGAAGAGTTTTAATCAAGAAAGAATGCTGTACTTTATTAAATGCTTTTTCTGCATCAGTTGAGAGGATCATATGGTTCTTGTCCTTTCTCTTAGTCATGTGGTAATTATGTTGATTGATTTGCGAATATTGAACCTTTCCTGCAGCCAAGGAATAAGTCCCACTTGATTGTGGTGAATAATTGTTTTAATAATTGAAATTATTAAAATATACCCTCAATTATTGAAATGGACCCTCAACTCCATGGTTGACTAATCTTTGACAAAGCAGGAAAGAATATCCAATGGAGAAAACACAGTCTCTTCAACAAATGGTGCTGAGAAAGCTGGACAGCCACATGCAGAAGAATGTTTTAATGTACTGTTGGATTTGATTTGCTAATATCTTGTTGAGAATTTTCACACCCATGTTCATCAATTATATATTAGGTATAATTCTCCTTTTTGGTGGGGTCTTTGTCTGGTTTTGGAATCAAGGTAATGCTGGCCTCATAGAATGAATATAGAAGTTTTCCTTCCATTTATTTCTATTTTTTTGGACCTGTTTGAGAAGAATGTGTATTAACTTTTTTTTTTAAAGTCTAGTAGAATTCCCCTGGGAAGCCATCTGGCCTTGGACTTTTGTATTTGAGAGATTTTTGATTACAGATTCAGTTTCTTTGCTGGTTATGGGTCTGTTTAAATTTTTTTCTTCCTGTTTCAGTTTTGGCAGTTTGTGGATTTCTAAGAATTTATCCATTTCTTCCAGATGCTTGTTTTGTTGGCATATGATTTTTCCTAATAATCTCTAATAATTAAAATTCTGTGGTGTTGGTTGTGATCTCTCTTCTTTCATTGGTGATTTTATTTATTTTGGTCTTTTTGTGTTTTGATTAAGTCTGGCTAGGGGTTTATCAGTTTTATTCTTTCAGAGAAAAATATTTTAGTTTCATTGATCTGTCCTACTAGTTTTTTTATTTCTGCTCTAATCTTTTTATTTCCTTCCTTCTGCTGGCTTTAGGCTTTATTTGCTGATCCTTTTCTAGCTTCCTTTAGGTGTAAGGTTAGGTTGTATATTTGAGATTTTTCTTGCTTCAAGGTAGGCTTGTATTGCAGTATACTTTCTTTTCAGGACCACCTTTGCTGCATCCCCAAGGTTTTGTACTATCGTGTTTTCATTTGCTTCCGTGGATTTTTAAAAATTTATTTTTTAGGGCGCCTGGGTGGCTCAGTGGGTTGGGCTGCTGCCTTCGGCTCGGGTCATGATCCCAGGATCCTGGGATGGAGTCCCGCACCGGGCTCTCTGATCAGCGGGGAGCCTGCTCCCCCCACCCCCCGCCATCTGCCTCTCTGCCTACTTGTGATCTCTGTCTTTCAAATAAATAAAATCTTTTTTTAAAAAATTTCTTTAATTTCCTGGTTAACCTCTTCATTCTTTTTTTTTTTAATATTTAATTAATTTATTTATTTGACAGAGATCATAGGTAGGTAGAGAGAGAGGGGAAGCAGGCTCCCTGCTGAGTAGAGAGCCCGATGCAGGGCCTCATCCCAGGACCCTGAGATCATGACCTGAGCCAAAGACAGAGGCTTAACCCACTGAGCCACCCAGGTGCCCCCCCTCTTCATTCTTTAGTAGGATGTTCTTTAATGTCCATGTATTTGTGATCTTTCCAAATTTTTTCTTGTGGTTGACTTCAGGATTCATAGCATTATGGTCTGAAAATATGCATGGTATGATCTCATTCTTTTTGTATTTGTCGAAGGCCTGATTTGTGATCCAGTATGTGATCTCTTTTGGAGAATATTCCATGTGCACTTAGAAAGAATTTGTATTCTGGAGGGAGGGTGGGGTTATGGACATTGGGGAGGGTATGGCTATGGTGAGTGCTGTGAAGTGTGTAAACCTGGCGATTCACAGACCTGTACCCCTGGGGATAAAAATATATGTTTATAAAAAATAAAAATTTGAAAAAAAAAAAAAAAGAATGTATTTTGCTGCTGCTTTAGGATGAAATGTTCTGAATATGTCTGTTAAGTCCCTCTGGTCCATTTGTGTCATTCAAAGCCATTGTTTTCTTTTGATTTTGGGCTTAGATGATCTGTAGGTTTCTGTTAAGTGGGGTATTAAAGTCTCCTATTGTTACTAATGAGTTTCTTTATGTTTGTTATCAATCGACTTATGTATTGGGTGCTGCCAAGTTGGGGGCATAGATATTTGCAATTGTTAGATCTTTTTGTTGGATAGAACAAGGGTTTATGAGATAGTGACCTTTATCTCATATTTTTTTGTTTAAAATCTTGTTTGATATTAAACATGCCTACTCTGGCT